ATACGAAGTGGAAATGAAAGTAAACTAAATGTACGAGAATATTATCGGTAAAATCGAAGCATCATTGAATTTAGAAGGAGAAATGTGAATGTTTACCTCTGAGAATTGAGGAGGACGAAGCTCCAATGTTTCCATCCGTACGTTGAGGAACAAATCAACGCTAAAGTCGCTTAATCCTCCATGGAAATCGATATCGCTGAGAGAGCGGCGGCGTAGAGAGAGAATAGAGAGACAGAGAACTGGCGCCAAAATGAATTTGGAAGTGGCGGGCATTTGTGTCTTAAATAAATAGTTCCTTGTACAGTCGTACTTACGCGTCGATTTATTCCAATTAAACTTCTGAAAAAAAAAAATCAATTTTCACATCCAAACCTGCAATCTCAATCCATTTTAATCTTAAATTTTGTATTTTATTAAATTACACACTAAATTTATATCAATGTGCAATTTTCTTTAACAAATATTACAATTTTAATTATTTAACAAATTTTCACTCTATAAATACCTTTTAAAAGAATTTCATATGCATTCAAGAATTATAAAAAATATGCACGGTATAAATTAATAAAGTTTTAGCGAAAAAAAGTATTATAGTAAATTTTTTAATTAAAATTTATGAATTTTGGGAAAGTTAAATTTTTATTTTTGTGTAATTTTCTTTTATGAAAGTGAATGAACTTACGAATATATTTATACTATTTTATGTTAAAACTAGAGAATTAAATAGCAATTTTAAATCGAGATTAAAAACTACACCTTATTTTTTATGGTCTAAACTGATAAACTCTTTTAATTATACGGTCAAAATTAAAATAAATAAATATACAATAAAGTAACAATTCTTAATTTTGATAAAATAACAACTATTTTAATCATGGTTATTTATCTTCCTTTAATAATTAATTTTTAATTTAAAAAATTACAAATTAACAATCAAAATCGAGCATCTCCTGAGCATTGGAGATTTGTTTGTTCAATTTTGAAATTTTTGGACATCTATGTAAACATCACATCATGACCCAAAAAAAAATTCAAATTATTTGTAAAGTTTGAATTTCAAAACAACCTATTAAGCATAATTTTTGTTTTTTTTTTCTTTTAATAACAAAAAATTTAATATCAGAATAGATTTTCAATCAATAAATTAAACTGCTCGGATAAATGGAAGAATAGAAATAATCACAGTTCAAATTAATGCCTTCTTACACAGCATCATATTTCTTTTTATTTCGTTTTTCAAAATTCAAGAGAGGAGAAAAAAGAAATTATGAAATGTTCCCAATTAAGTAGAAATTATTATTTTTAAAATATATTTTCAAGCAAACCACCTGGCTTAACAATGATCAGATAGAAGCAAACAGTTAACCAGAGGGGAAATATACAGTACTGTCCCTTTTCATAACACCACCACTCTCCCTATTGAAAGCAATACCTGCTCTGGTCAAATCAACTATTTCTCTTTTCTTGCTTCATCATCTCTACGAAATCTCCAAAAACTGAAACAAAAAAATTTGGTTTTGGTCAGTCACAAGGCATTCAAAAATCAACTCAGCATATAGTTGCAAATTCCATCATATAGTTTGTTTATTTTTGGAATCATACAATGTGCCTTCAAAAGATAATTTCAAACACTCCCTGCAAATCATGACTTTCTATTGACTAGATTAAACAAACATACACATGACACGTGTTAAATGAGCACTCAGGTTCAAAATCAGTTCCAAACATGTCTTTAATCATTCAAAGTCTCGTTTAATGATGTAAAACCATACATTAAATTGATTTTGAATGATTAAAGGTATGTGTTTGAGAGTGGATTTGAACATGGAAAAAATGGTTTTAACCCATTTGTTTGTGTCCAGTGCTCGTGCTTCTTAGGTTTTAAGAGGGGTTTTAACAGAAAGGAGCTATTTCTTTCTTAGAAGTTATAACAGGAGTGTTGGAATCTCCGAGTATGATTTCAAAAATAGACAGCTTAAAAGGATATGATTTAGAACACAATGCATTCTTCTGCAATCTGCAGAATTCTATCATTATTTGGTTTAAATATGGCCAAGGTCCATGAATTTCTACTCATTTTCTATTCTAGCCCCAAACTACAACAATTTATATTTTAGCTCCCCACCCTTTGAAGTTATATCTATTTGTCCTTTTAACTTCGGTAACATCAATTTTTGTCTCCAATTGTCAACTGACCTCCATATTTAATCGCTAAAATGATGATATATAACGAGAACCTAATAGCTAGGATGCCAGAAGAATTCAAGAATCAGAAGTTCGAAAATCAAAATAGGAAACAGATAAAAAAAATATTCAGTGACCAAAATTGTTTGTAAGTTAATATAAGATGTTTGTTACCAGAGTCAGAATCATGAGGTCCGGGGGATGCTTCCGGATGGTATTGAAGAGACATAATCTTAAGCTTTGGGAAAGCAAGGCCAGCACAACTTCCATCGTTAAGATTGATGTGGGTTACTTCAATGCCCTCGGGGAGGGATGCAGGGTCGACTGCATAGTTGTGATTCTACCACGAAAAACACAAAAGTGAATGCAATGAAGTTTCAATAAAAGCCATAAGAACACGAATGATAGGCATGAAGTTCATAAATTTTGATATAGCCACACCTGAGCACTAATTTCTACACGGTTGTCACGGAAGTTGCGCACGGGATGATTGCCTCCATGGTGACCAAATTTCATTTTGAAGGTCTTACCACCTAAGGCCTGACCAAGCAATTGATGTCCCATACAAATTCCAAAAACAGGTACCTTTCCAAGTAGTTGCTTGACCGTTTCAACAGCATAAGGAACTGCTGATGGATCGCCGGGGCCGTTGCTGAAGAGAACCCCATCTGGCTTCAACTTCAAGGTCTCCGATGCCGCCCATGTGGACGGGACAACGGTAATTTTGCATCCATAAGATGCCAAGCGCCTAAGTATGTTACTCTTGATTCCGAAATCATATGCCACGACCTTTTTTAACACGAAGTATCAATGTAAAGGTGCATTGCCAAAATACAAAATAAGAACGTTCATAGCAATACAACTAAAATATGATCTTAAGGTTCTTGCACACTCACATGAAAGGTCTCTGAACTGTGCCCACCAGATTTGAACTCCCATTCCAAACTTGTTCTATCCACCCATTCATAAGGAGATTTGCATGAAACGCCACTAATTAAGTCGACACCTGCCGAACAGAAGCAAGGATATTTCTCATTGTTTCCAGCATTTTATGAATATTACAAACTGCATTTTTGCACCAAATCCTTACCAACAATGTCCCATGACCGAGACATTTCCAATAGCTCATCATCAGATTTTGATTTTTCAGTGCTTAAAACACCAATAAGACTTCCATCTTCCCTTAACCGGCGAGTAATAGCACGAGTGTCGACGTCATCTGCTCCATGACGAAGCAAACACAAATTTTATAGATTAGAGAATTTAAAAGATTCTGCACATTGTCATTAGAGAAATCCTAATATAAAGTTCCTTACAAATTCCCATAATATTTCTCTCCATTAAATAATCACCGAGCGTCTGTTTACACCTCCAATTCGAAGTGCTGGAAGAACAATAAGTGGAATAACAGAGGCCATAAGTTACCACAAAACTAATCGACTACTTAAATAATTTGGTTAAACAGAGTAAGAGAAGGAAATGCACCTGATGCTTAGGCTTCTGATCACCAGGCCAGCGAGAAAGCATTCCCGAGCTTCTTCATCATCTAATTGGAAATGGTACTCAGTCAATATTATTAAACAGTTCTCAAGACAACACAACACGACGAGTTTGAAGGCATGGCGTACCAAAATTGACACCAGTATTGCCAATATGAGGATTTGTCATCAGCACGAACTGCCCGGCATAGCTGGGATCTGTTAGAATCTCTTGATATCTGCAGATTCATCGTGTCAGGAAGCATGGACAAACGTCATAAACTGTTAACTAACAACTGAAAAAGAAAAATGTTCCATCGTCATAGCAAACTATCTCTACTTCCAATTTGGAATCCCGAAGTAATGGCATGATATTTACATAGAAATCGGCTAAAAGCTCCCACAAACATACATACCCTGTTAAAGAAGTGTTGAAAACCACTTCACCAACTTGGGTTCCCGAAGCGCCAAAAGACTTGGCGCTCCAAATTGAACCATCTTCAAGCACCAGCCGAGCATCCGACACCTTCCATGGCCTCTCTCCCAAATCTTAAAACAATGCAAAAATAAATAACTGAAAAGAGTAAAAATCCAACAAAAAGAGAACTCCACCGAGTACCAATAGTGGCAGCGCCATGGGAGGAAGAGAGAGGAACAGAGCATCTGATAGAGAAATCCCTAGAATTCTGATGTCCTTTAGGGTTTTTGAAATGAAAACAATTCAGTGAAGCTCCGGACACCAAGTCCATAACTCTGATCGCCATTGACCAAATGTGCGTGCTTCAGAAAGTAGCGGAAAGAGAATTTTGGCTTCTTCGAGTGGTGGTCGCCTTCTGAGAGAAAGAAGAACGGATAACACAAAGAAACTCAAAATCCAAAAGAAGAACAAATTGGAGTTGGAGTAGAAAAACAATGAATCGCTAAAGAGCACACACATCACATCACAGCGCACTGAGAAATGGAAAACAACATAACGAAAAAGATCACTCCGAATTCCCGAGTGAGAGAGAGAGAGATTACGTCTGGAGAGGCGTCAACTTCTGATGCTTTCGCCTGGTTTCTTGTTGTGGTTCGGTGCGTGGGGCTATGGCGATGGGTTTAGGGTTCTTTTGCGAACAGAGAATTATTCGAATTGTGGAGGCTATTTTCGTCCTTTCACAAATTATCAAAATCAGCTTAAATTACAAATTTAGCGCCAAACTTTCATATTTTTATTTGTTTAGTTCTTCTAAATTTATTCGGTTTAAAGCTGTACGAATCTAAGTTATTAGTGATTCTTTCAAATGCGCTAAAATATTCATATAAATATATATATATATATAGGTATGTCTTCCGTAACTACAAGTGCCCTAACATGATATCGTAACTCCCAGTTCTAAGCATATTACAAAATCTCAAAACTTCCTCATTCCATTTACACGCTTCGCACGTGTGTTCTCCATAATAATCATCCCCATCGTTCCCATCCCATCTAATTCTTCTCACGTTCTTCTTACAAGTATTCTTAACTACACTCTCACATTCCCTCCGGTCACCGAAATCCTTTTCCGACAAAGGAATATTGTTCTTAACCCAAAGATTACAAACAAATTCCTTAACTCTCCGACGACATTCAGCCCGTTTAAGCCCTAATTTTGCCTCACAAATCTTCAAGAACTTCACTCCCTCATCCTCCAAACTCGTTGCATACAAAATGATGTCGTATACATAACAAGTTTCCGAGTAGCCTTTTTGGGCATAAAGCTTTAAATATGTCATTCCAGAAGCTTCTCTATAATGGGTGAAGAATTCCAGCATTCCCTTTCGGTATAGAATCTCTGGGTTTCCGTTGTTGTTGCAGCTTTCCATAAACGACCAAAACTTTGGGCTGTTGTTCCATAGAAGCTTTTGGAAGTTTCCAATAAATGCATGTTGTAATATGTAGCCGTGGATTGATACTTCGAGAAATTCTTTGGTGGCTAATTTGGCTTAGACTAAGTTCGTGAATGACGAAGATGCAACTTTTGCTAGAACTTCGATCAATAAATCGTTTGGGAGTGATTCTATGCCCGGTGAAGAAACGCTAAAACGCATCGTTTTGATTTTTCTGCACATCATAAATTAGAGGAAAACAATTAAGAAAGATCTCAAGCAGCCGCCAAATCGGCATAAACTGATAGCAGCCGTCGTAATAAATTTATTATTGAAAATTCGTAGACGAAAAATAATTAAATAACTTTTAATAATAAAAAGGCATGCATGCAAAAATTAAGCTAACTTACCTTGAAATCAGAAAGTCAAGAGCTTGGGATTTTAGTTTCAGGGAACTGCCATCGTTCTATGATCTTCAAGCTTTTCACGTATGAACGACGTCGTTTCACTGTTTATAAGAAATTTCACGAACATTTTGATGGAGAGAAGCAGTGAGAAAACTGGAGTTTGTTTATGGATCTGTTTATGAATGAGACAAAAAAAAAAATATGCTTTGATTTTCCTATTGAGTTTTGAATTTCCAATTGTTATTACCATTATCTTTCCGTGAATCTTGTAATATTTCTTTCTGTGGATGATTATTTAAAAAAAAAAAAATCATAAATTTTTTTATTTATCTGATCTACATTTTATCAAATATTCACATTTTTTAAATGTATATTTATTAAACGGTTATTAAATTCATATTTAAAAATTTAAAGATTAGGAAATTTTATAACCATAATTAGGGTTTCAAAATTCAAACCAAAATTTAAAAATTAAAAAGATAAAATAGTTTAAGTAAATCTATTTTTGTAATAAAAATTTGATTAATAATATAAATATTTAATAAAAAAAAAAGATAAGAATCTCTAGATTATAAAAATTAGGAGAAAATATAATACACTTTTTAAAAATAAAAAAGAAAGACAAAACGAAATAATTATTAAATGGGGTGTAGACCGTGGACAGTTTATGGAACAGACGTTTAAAAATGTTATACAATTTTGCACGTTTTAATACTTCTATATCATTCAATTCACTATATATATATATATATTATTTCCTTTTCGGGGTTTCCATCAAGGTTTTTAAAACCCATTTGGTATGCAGAAGTTTTCACAAGCTTAAAAAAAAATGATTAGTTTTCCTCTCTAACAGAGGTATGATTTACCATATATTTTAGATTTTATTATAAATGCACTAATTTTTTAAAATAATTTCCAATTTCGAATCTCGACGGTTAATTAATTCAAATATATGAATACAATTATAAAAAATAACAAAGAATTGTATCATTAATTTCATAATGGTAATTACAAGTGCCCTACCATAATATCATAACTCCCTGTTCTAAGCATATTACAAAATCTCAAAACTTCCCCATTCCATTTACACGCTTCGCACGTGTTTTCTCCATAATAATTATCCTCATCGTTCCAATCCCATCCAATTCTTCTCACGTTCTTCTTACAACAATTCTTAATCACATTCTCACAACCCCTTCGATCATTGGAATACTTTTCCTGTACAGAAATCTTGTTCTTAACCCAAAGATGACGAACAAATTCCTTAACTCTCCGACGACATTCAGCCAGTTTAAACCCTAATTTTTCCTCGCAAATCTTCAAGAACTTCACTCCTTCATCCTCCATACTCGTTGCGTACAAAATGATGCCGTATACGTAACAAGCTTCCGAGTAGCCTTTTTGGGCAGACATCTTTAAATATGTCATTCCAGAAGCTTCTCTACAATGGGTGAAGAATTCCAACATTCCCTTTCGATATAGAGTCTCTGGGTTTCCGTTGTTATTGCATTTTTCCATGAACGACCAGAACTCTGTGCTGTTGTTCCATAGAAGTTTATGGAAGTTTTCAAGAGATGCGTGCTGAAATATGTAGTTGTGGCTTGATGCTTCGAGAAATTTTTTGGTGGCTAGTTTGGCTTGGACTAAGTCGGTGTATGAAGAAGCTGCAACTTTTGCCAAAATTTCGATCAATAAATCGTTTGGGAGTGATTCTATGGCCGGTGGAGAAGCGCTCAAACGCGCTGTTTTGGTTTTCCTGCACATCATAAATTAAAGGGAAACAAATTTAAAGAAGAGCTCGAGCCGCCACCAAATCGACAGAAGCTGGTCCCAACCGCCATAATAAATTTATTATTGATAACTGGTAGACGAAAAATAGTAATATTTTTTATTGATAAAAAAGCATGCATGCAAAAATTAAGGTAATGTACCGTGAAATCTGAGAGCCAAGAGCCTGTGATTTTCGTTTCAGGGAACCGGCCATCGTTCTACGATCTGCAAGCTTTTTCCTTATGAACGAAATCGTGGGAAGGAATATTTTGATCGAGCAGAAAGGACTATGGAGTTTATTTATGAATCAGATGAAGTTTTAAAGGAAAGAAAAAGTGTTTGGGAAGAGGAAAATATGTTGATTGGTGGGAAGACGGGAGAGTTTATATAAGGAAAATATTTTGATTTTTCTGTTGAGTTTTGAATTTCCTTATCTTATTACTAAATCTGATTTTAATTATCTTTTTTAAAAAAGATAAAATAGTTTCATAAAATCTATTTTTGTAATAAGAATTTGATTATAATATAAATATTTAATAAAAAAAAGATAGAATCTTTCGGGTACAAAAATGAGGAAAAAATATATTACACTTTTTAAAATTAAAAAAGAGAGACAAAACAAAATAATTATTAAATGGGGTGTAGACAATGGACAGTTTACGAGAGAGACGTTTAAAAATGTGATACAATATCATACGTTTAATACTTTTATATCATTCCATTCGTTTTATTAGCTATAGAAATATATAAAATAAGATATATATTTAGATTAAGAGATAGATTTAAAGACTTCACCTTTATTTACGATAATAATAATTCTTGTTTTAGCTATTTAAATTGTTTATTATATTGGTAGCTTTTAATTGATAGTGCCAAAACTGAGAACACAATATTTAGTAAGTAATTATTAAATATAATCATTTAGAAAGAAATAACCTAATTTCAATTTTCCGTCCGCATTTATTAATATTTATGAACTCTCTCTTTGATCCTTAAAATAATAATAATAAATAAATAGACTTTCTTTCAAACGTGTTTTAATTTTAAAATATATGTACTAATTCAATAAATAAATTTGGGATGGGATTATTTATTTATTTATTTTAGGCTTTTTCTTTTTGCTACAATTGTTTAAAAAAAAAACTAGTTATTTAATTTATTAAACAACATTACAATATTATATATGTATATATATATATATAGACATAATTATATATGTATATATATATATAGACATAATTATATATGTAAATTATTTTCCAGATTTCTAAGTCGAACTACTTAGGAAAAAAATATTAAATCATTTATTTAGACCGATTAAATTGAAAAAAAAAATGATAAAAATAGTCAACATATTAATGTATTTAAGAAAAAATACATATGCGTAATAAAATATTTTTGCCTCACGAAAAATAATAATATTAATAATTATAATTAAAATGATTCAATCGTGGATGCCACAACAAATTCCCTCTTCTTATACAAACTCTCCCCCACCACCGCGTTTTCATCAAAATCCCATTTACCAAAATGGCCGAGCCGAGAAAATCCCCCTCGCCGGCGCCGCCTCTACGGTCATCTCCGCAGTCGTCACCACTGCCGGCAATTTCACTCCAACCATCTCCAAAACGATCAGGTTTCTCAAAGCCTACAAAACTCCTCCGGCAAGTCCGCTCCGTCTTCCGTACACTTCCGATTCTGTCGCCGGCGTGTCGAATTCCACTAAACGGCAGTCGGCTACACGACGGCTACGTACACGGCGGCGCTCGGATCACTGGAACGATCTTCGGTTATCGGAAGTCGCGAGTGAATTTGGTGTTCCAAGAAAGCCCTAGGTGCCTCCCGATTTTGATTTTGGAACTGGCGATTCCGACGGGGAAACTCCTCCAGGACATGGGGCAAGGGCTCGTCAGGCTCGCGTTGGAGTGCGAGAAGCGGCCGTCGGAGAAGAGGAAGATTCTGGAAGAGCCGATTTGGACATTGTACTGTAATGGAAGAAAATCGGGATATGGAGTTCGGAGAGATCCGTCCAGTGAGGATATGAAAATTATGCAGACTTTGAACGCGGTGTCGATGGGCGCCGGCGTGATCCCGGCGGAGGAAGCGGCGGAGACGGCGGACGGTGATCAATTGACGTACATGAGAGCGTATTTTGAGCGAGTGACTGGATCCAAGGACTCGGAGACGTTCTACATGATGAATCCCGATAGCAATAATGGTGCTGAACTCAGTGTTTTCTTGGTTAGAATTTAAATATATATATATATATATATATATATATATATATATATATATATATATATATATTTATTTATTTATTTATTTTTGGTTGTTTTTCTTTTTAGCTGATAATATTAATGTTAATTTATTGATAGTATCATGACGTGTAAGAATCGTTGAGAAATTTCATTTTCAGACATTGAAAAAACGTGAATTCTTTACTGACAATTTTAGTGGAAAAAACCCATGAATTATTGCAATATTGTAAATTTTTTTAGTTAAATTAATAAAAAAATATATTTATAAACGGTAATAGTCTAAGCTCACTGCTAACATTTACCTTTAAAATGTGTTATGCTTAGTTATTACTAATGTGAGACCTCATAATTCACTCTCTTGAATATTAGTGTGAGATCTAACAATCTAACAACTTGGAGGCCAGCTTTATTGTTGGCACACTACTCAATATCTGGCTTTGACCTACACGGCCCATAATACTATTTGCCCAAAAAAATAAAAAAATAAATATTATTATTATATTTTAAAATAAATAAATAAATAAAATAAAATAAAAACAATTATTCCCTATTTCTGTCACAATAATCTCTCCTTAACCATCTTTTAAAATGAAAAAAAACAGAATTTATAAGGGACAATGAAAATTTATATAGGAGAGAAATTTGATATTTCTACATAAGTTATATCTCAAATCTCTATTCTTTTATCTCATTATTTAATTTTATTTAAAAATTTACTCTTAGAAAGATACTTCATGATCAATAGCAGAAAAAATAAAATATATTAAATTGGCGGGAACTAATTGCTAACATGATTGAAAAGGTAATAAACAAAAATAAAAACAAAGGTTAAGCCTATTTAACATATCAGAATCTTATTTTTCCGTAAAAACAAATACAAATAAAAAAACAAAAAGGTTTGGATTTAGTTTGGTTAGAAAGAGATGTTGTTGGAAGAGTTTATAGTTTTCCTTTTATTTTATTTTATCTATTGATATTAATTTATTAATTTTGTTATAACTAATTAGTTTTGAATTAAGGATTAAAGTCATTTCAGACAAATAAATAAGAATTTCATAAAACTAACTAAACAACAAACACGGAGGGAGGAAGATTGTGAATATAATTAAAAAAAAGGAAACACAGTTAGACAGAGTGGGAAAATTGTAAATATAATTGAAATTATGTGGAAGAGGGTACACAAGAGAAAATAGAATATCTTGGAAATGTTAACGCGTGTTAAATGATTTGTATGAAAATAATACTATAATAAACATATATAAATATTTCAAGATTTAACTCATGCAAAGACTCTAAAGTTCGAAGTATTTCACCACGATGGGCAGGGGTATGATCATTATGTTTTACAAAATGCTTCTGATAGGGGTATGATCATTATGTTTTACATAATGTTGTCGGCAATGGTACGATCATTTTGTTTTACATAATGTTGTCGTGGTGGTTATTAGTTCTAACGGGTGTCTGGCCTAAGAAGCTCCCAGAGTGTGCTCACCCAACAAGGAAAATGGACCAACAGTGTGCGAACTGACTGGTGAGTCCATACTCACACGTATGGGTTGTGTGTAGAGTATATGGTACACATCCAAGTTACCCGTTAAAACAGTACCGTAGGAAAATAGATTGAAATAATAGGTTTTGTCATTGCATTCGCATGTTCTTGCATTTAGCCACAATAGTGAAGTCACTTACGGAGTATTTCTTCAAATACTCAAGTGATGTGCTTCTACATTTTTCAGGTTAAGGCAAGACATTTTTGTATGGTTGACGACGACATCGCAATTCGAGACCATAACTCATGCATAGGGTTGGGCTAGAATAGGATGTTTTTAATTTAAACGTTTATTTAGCCTTTTGTTGTGTCGTTTTGAAGGTGTTTTCGAAACACATAAGTCTTGGCTGTGTTTTAAGATAAAAGTTACGTTTTATGAAATTTAAATGAACTATTTCCGCATTCAATGTTTATGATATATATACAACAACGACCTTTAAGTAGAAAATTTCGAGTTGTTACATTAAGTTTATTGTTAACAAATATTATCATCTTTAGATTTTTTCCTTTTCAACTTTCCTTCAAGTTTTTAAAAACACAATCTATTAGAAGAGATTTCTACACCCTTACAAATGAATTGTTCTCCTCTCCATATGATGGTGTGATCTTTCTACACCACATCAGGCTTACATTTTTTTTAACTTCTTTAAGTTTTTAAAATTTTTTTAGGAACATTAATAAAACTTTTAAAAGCTTAATGGTATTTTTTTAAACATTCAAGTGCATTTTTAAAAAATAATATTAACTGTGATGGTAAAAATATTTTTGATTTTTTAATTTAAGGGTATTTTTAAATTTTGTTTAATTAAGAATATTATTGAATTTTTTTCAGTGGAATCGACCACAATCATGGGAGCAAATAACTTGAATGGTCTCACAAAATTAGTAAATAACGTGTCTCTAAGGTTGATGCTCTCCACTTCTGTCACCTAACACCACCCGCACACACTCTCTTTGCTGTTATTATTATTATTATTTTTTTATGAGGTCGATTTAAAACGGGTCGGCTAGAAAAAAGTTTTTATACCCTGGTAAATAATGTTTTATTCTCTCTAATCAATGTAGGATCTTACAATTCATGGGGCCCACTGTCTTCCCTAACACTCACTCGTCCCCTCTTCAATCACCGATCTCTAATCAACTACCAACCAATATGGATAACAAGATGTAGAAATTCATACAGGGATGAAGTATTTATAAGCTTAATATTTTAAAAATAAAATAATTATCAAACTATTAAAATTATTTTGAAATTGAAAAATTAAATAATTTGAAACTAAGACCAAAAATAGAGGTGGTAGTCTTGGCTGGAAAAGACGGACCGTATATAAACTATTTTTTCTCATATAAAAAAAGTAAATGAGAAAATAAAGAAACCAATAAGTAAAACTAGTATTTATAAGCTAAATTTTCAATTAAGTTTGTTTGATAACAAGTTGGTTTTTTTCCTAATTTATTTGCTACAATTTTCACATATTTTTAAAATTAATTTTAAGTCAAATTTTCAATTTTAGTTTTAAAGAATTTGATTAAAAAAATAAACAGAATTTCTTGTGCAAAATATTTTGAAACAATTACTTAATATGGTTATAAATTTTCATAATCTTTAAAATTTTAAATTTTAATTTAATAACCGTTAGATAAATATATATTTCAAAAAGGGTGAATATATAATAATAATGTAGATGAGATAAATAAAAAAATATTAAAATATTAAAAGAAAAATTAAAAGAGTAGATATAGTTGGGGTAAGCCAAAATTTGCGGAAAGATAATGTAATAAGAATTGGAAATTAAATAAAGGGTGTAATTTTGAAATATTTAACTTCAGATTTGTTTTTAAAAAAGATAATTAAAATCAGATTTAGTAATAAGATAAGGAAATTCAAAACTCAACAGAAAAAATCAAAATATTTTCCTTATATAAATTCTCCCATCTTCCCACCAATCAACATATTTTCCTCTTCCCAAACACTTTTTCTTTCCTTTAAAACTTCATCTGATTCGGAATTTTCCTTGGCTCGATCAAAATATTCCTCAACTTCTTGATAAACAATTCCACGATTTCGTTCACAAGGAAAAAGCTTGCAGATCGTAGAACGATGGCCGGTTCCCTGAAACGAAAATCACAGTCTCTTGGCTCTCACATTTCACGGTACATTACCTTAATTTTTGCATGCATGCTTTTTTATCAATCAAAATTATTTAACTATTTTTCGTCTACCAGTTATCAATAATAAATTTATTATGGTGGTTGGGACCTGCTTCTGTCGATTTGGTGGCGGCTCGAGCTCTTCTTTAAATTTGTTTCCCTTTAATTTATGATGTGCAGGAAAACCAAAACAGCGCGTTTGAGCGCTTCTCCACCGGCCATAGAATCACTCCCAAACGATTTATTGATCGAAATTTTGGCAAAAGTTGCAGCTTCTTCATACACCGACTTAGTCCAAGCCAAACTAGCCACCAAAAAATTTCTCGAAGCATCAAGCCACAACTACATATTTCAGCACGCATCTCTTGAAAACTTCCATAAACTTCTATGGAACAACAGCACAGAGTTCTGGTCGTTCATGGAAAAATGCAATAACAACGGAAACCCAGAGACTCTATATCGAAAGGGAATGTTGGAATTCTTCACCCATTGTAGAGAAGCTTCTGGAATGACATATTTAAAGATGTCTGCCCAAAAAGGCTACTCGGAAGCTTGTTACGTATACGGCATCATTTTGTACGCAACGAGTATGGAGGATGAAGGAGTGAAGTTCTTGAAGATTTGCGAGGAAAAATTAGGGTTTAAACTGGCTGAATGTCGTCGGAGAGTTAAGGAATTTGTTCGTCATCTTTGGGTTAAGAACAAGATTTCTGTACAGGAAAAGTATTCCAATGATCGAAGGGGTTGTGAGAATGTGATTAAGAATTGTTGTAAGAAGAACGTGAGAAGAATTGGATGGGATTGGAACGATGAGGATAATTATTATGGAGAAAACACGTGCGAAGCGTGTAAATGGAATGGGGAAGTTTTGAGATTTTGTAATATGCTTAGAACAGGGAGTTATGATATTATGGTAGGGCACTTGTAATTACCATTATGAAATTAATGATACAATTCTTTGTTATTTTTTATAATTGTATTCATATATTTGAATTAATTAACCGTCGAGATTCGAAATTGGAAATTATTTTAAAAAATTAGTGCATTTATAATAAAATCTAAAATATATGGTAAATCATACCTCTGTTAGAGAGGAAAACTAATCATTTTTTTTTTAAGCCTGTGAAAACTTCTGCCTACCAAATGGGTTTTAAAAACCTTGATGGGAACCCCAAAAAAGAAATAAAATATATATATACTATCATTAAGTTTCGACCATTACAAATTATATTATAACCAAACATCGTGTGATATGTCGGCTAAGATACTGGACTTGAAATAAGAACCATAAATTTAC